TCCCGGCTTCTGTCCCATCCAGTGCCGGCTCCTGGAGGAGCAAGGGAGACTCCCTAAGACAAGGCACTCCGCCCCCCCGTGCTTCATCTCCTCCCGGAGGGCAGGGCCGGCTGCCTGCCTCCTGTGTCCCGTCCCCCCCCCCGGCAGCCCGGGACCCCCGGGTAGACCAGCTGCCTTTTTGAGCAGGAGCACCAAGGGGGAGAGGAGCCCTGTCGAGCCCATCCTACTGGGTGAGCCAAGGGAGTTGAGCAGAGCAGGCTCAGGGCGAGGAAGGGGACGGTCTCCCGCACCCCCAAATTGCTGCGGTGGAAGCTGCAAGCCACTAATCTGAAAGAGTCAGTGATACCGGTCCAGTATATACTGGCGTGTGTACACATATATATATGCTATAGAAGGATGTGAAACAGTTTTCAGAGGAGCAGGCAAAATCAGCTTGAGTTTGAAAGATGGAGACACAAGTACGACCGAGGCATCCGCAGGCAGCCAACTTTTGTGTAATTACCATCCTCGTTACGCTACCACCAATGTCATTAAGTGTCATTAGGTTTAACTCGGTTCCCTAGGACTTTCTGATTAATTGGATTAGCCAATTAAGCAGGCCACAATTAAAGGGAAGATATTGTCATAAAAGCCTTAATTGTCTAACTTTTTTGCTGTTGAGCAGCTCTGAGTGTTCAATACACCATATAAGAAACACATCATCCAGTTTCCTCAACAGTGAGTTTTGGTTTTTCTCTCCTTTTTTTTGTAACGTTAGCATCCTTTTGCTGGGAGCTTCATTTCAGACAGCTCCGAGTGGGCATTTTGTTTCACAAAGCCCATGCACAAGTTTACTTTGCAGAGCTATAAACCGCAGTAGGTGGTGTTTAGCAGATGGAGTTTTTCGTGGAAGGTGACTGGTAAAGAAAAAAAAAAACCAAACCCTACACAATATTTTGTTACCGTATAAAGAAAAGCCAGATTCTGCAAATACTTGGCCACATGCTTCACTTTAACTGTATAAACAGTGCCAAGCTTCATTTTGATGAATATTTTTTTGCCTGTCGGTGATGCTAAAGTGACAGCTCGTTTCTCTCCTCTCCCTCATCCCCACAGTGGTGCTGGCAAGAATGTCAGTCTGTCCCCCAGCGATCCAGGCAGGGAAAACAAATCCCAAATAAAAATTCCTCCATGACCCGCATGGGCTATTTGCGGTGTAGAGCCACTCCTGGTCCCCTTTGCTGTGTGGTTGCACCAGCGTCACCCTACCACAAAGGAGGGGACGCAGCGGGGAGAGCAGCCAGTGACGGGGAGCAGAGGCTGCCAGCGCTGGCTCCGAGATAGGTGAAATGTCATCACCCCCCGAGCTCTTGGCTTTTGGTGAAAAAGCCCTCGTGGGACAAGAGACCTGGTGGCACCAGAGGTATTTACACTGCTTTGGCCAGCAGTCTGGGCCTGCTGAGGGCACACCGCTTGTTGGATATGTGCAAAAACCAAAGGCCACATTTTCTAATTTATTATTTCACCAAAATTTAAAAGACCTAGGCCAGGAGAGAATATGACCCTTTTACGAGGAAAAAGTCTCCTTCAAAGGAAAATGAGCACATTTTCCGTCCAACTGAGGGCTAAGAAAATTGTCATCAGGTCTTTGAGTAACCCTCCAGAAAAATATGAAATGAAAATATTCTAGTTAGAAGGTGCAAGATGAACAAGTTGGGCCTTCTTTACAGAGCAAGTCCAACTTTTCTCCATTACATATCACACTCCTCCTTAGAAAAACAGATACTGCTTATAAACCCTGAGGAAAACAAAAAAGTGTTTCAGATGGGTTTGAAGACTGTGATCTGAAGGAGTTTCATTGCTGGGTTATTAATCAAAATGTAGTTATGGGGATTAAAAGCATTATTTCTTCAGATTTAAAATAAAATATTCCTATCCAAGGCTCCAAGTACCAAACATCTGATTAATACAGTCAGATCACAGCAGTACTAAAGTAGTCCTGTCATAGGATCTCAGCTGGCCAGATGCTGCAGAGACAGCTTTTCATAGCAAAAAGCAGCCAGTGCTGGCACTCCCAGGCTTTTGGACCTCACTCAAGGTAAGGCGCAGGGACACGCAGCAGCTGCGTTGCAGGGGAAGGGAGTCTGCACGGCAGCAACAGGCTCTGTGCCTGGAAGAAACGCTACAACTTCTGCTCCAGATGCAGCAGTAAAACTAATACTGGGTTCCCGGCATGTCCTCCTAATACAGCTTAGGTGGCCTGGATCAAATGAATTGCTAGTCACGGTCTTAACAGGCAGCTTCAGAGACCCATATGGCCACACTTTTCATTCAAAGACCAGGTTAGGAGGACTGAGTGACCTCAGATCAACATGCCCCTTTATTTCCTGGTGGGAATTCCCCTTGACACGTGCACGGGAAAGCACACAATGGTCTGA